GAGTGTGAGTTGTCACTATGGACAGAGTCCAATGATCGTGTGACACGAATACCTGTCGGGTTCTTGGACTGTGAGTTGTCACTATGGACAGCGTCTTGGCTTTTTGTTTAAACGGAGTTCTCGTTTTTTCCCCCCATGATCATGGACACTCCTTAGGTCTGTATTCGATCTGTCTTTGCAATGTCTGTGGCCAATGTGTCTTTGTGGCACTCCTTATGTCTGTGGCCAAAGTGTCTTTGTCACACTCCTTATGTCTGTGGCCAATGTGTCTTTGTGACAATCCTTATGTCTGCATCCAATGTGTCTTTGCGATACTCCTTATGTCTGCATCCAATGTGTCTTTGTGACACTCCTTATGTCTGTATCCGATGTGTCTTTGGGTGGTTGACGTATGTCATAGGCCAGAAAAAAGATTATTTGGAATGAATGGCACGACGCAAGAAGGTGCCAGATAAGCATATCATTAAGCCTGAAATGTCTTAATGAAGACCCGAGCTGAGGCTGAGGCCCAGTGCCTTCTGAACGGGGTTGAAGTCAGCTCTCACCCGTTGCACTGAACCGTTTTTACTTGACCATGTCGTAGGCGAATTTTTTTTTATTGTGTCATACTTTCTCAGCGTATCTCATACTATCTCATACTTTTTTTTTCACGCTAATTCAGACTACAGCAAAATCCCAGCCTACACGCTAACTCAGACTCTCTCAAACTATCTGTAAATATCATAAGAGTATTTCAGAATACAAACTCACGATAAATCTATCACCCCACGTGATGATGCCTACAGGCATAAGGAGTGATGATGTCACTGGAGGAAACCCCCCCCCCACCCCACTTCGATAGCCCTTTCCATCCTTTTGTCACCCAAATCCGTCCCTGTCCCGTGAGCCCATCCGGCGGCCATTTTGATTTCGTGACCTGTGAGGGAAGGGTATTCTCCGCGAGGGTCCCCCATGCGTGGCGTCCCACACAGGCTAGGTATACAACCCCCAAGCTTTGCTTACCCAATGAGTGTCAACATCCGATAGTGTCCGACCGGAGAGGGAAAAAGATGATTTTATTATCGCGATCTACACACACATTGTAACAGCCGCACCACCAGGGGGGGGGGGGGCTGTTGGTATAGGTGGACACCGTGTTGATTAAAACTTTTTGAGAGGAAAACAAACAACTGTAAGATGTACCTGTCACCCAATCGTCGTTCAAAGATCTCCCCACTCTGCTTAGATGATGTGAAGTGAATCCATCTAAAACCACATACAAAAAAAAAAAAAAAAAAAATTACTCGATCGTCCCAGATTTATCCGCACAGCTTCTTAATTTCAAAAAAAAAAATTCTAATGCCTTTCTGGGATGTAAATTTGTTGAGGGCAGATGTAATATCTTGACGAATCTACTACGACTGATCCCTAAAATTGAACTTTTGAGACATAATATCAACGCTATCAACGTGAATTCTTATACAACTGAAAATGGCCTAGATTAGGTATTTTTCTAACAGTTGGAAATGTCCCTGTCTTTAAATTATTAGCTAAAAATCCATGTAGGCATAACACTACTTTAACACCTTATGGGCCGAGCCTATCTTGTAACCTGGATTGGATATATATGTAGTCTTTATACCAAACTGCATTTCATAATTTATCTCATTTGTATTTTTTGTTTTTAAACTTTTCGTGTAACACCCGCAACAACGTAATGAACTTCTAATGCAGGATGCGCCCTCTCCAGTGGCGTAGCGAGAGTATTTGGCGCCCGGGGACCAGATTCACGCTAAAGCGCCCCCTTTTCTTTTTTTTTTTCAACTCTCAAAACCATTATTTTCATCAATAAATTAACATCAAAGCACATTTTGGCGCCCCTAACTAACTGGCATCCTGGGACATCTGGTCCACCCTTCCCCACCCCCACCCCACTTTCGCTACGCATCTGGCCCTTTCAAATTATATCTGGTAAGAACATACTTTCGGGGGGGGGGGGCTTGGACTCTGGCGAATTTAAGAATGAAGGGAGAAGTTTTTCTGTACACCATACGGCACGTCTTTCAGAGCATCAGGTTACCCGACCACTGCACTAGTCACTAGTAGTTTTTTTGTTTGAGAACCGCTGACGTCAACGATATTATGTCAGGGCAAAGGCCATAATAGCACAGCTTTAGTCCTCTTGTGCCCGGACATTGGTCGAACATCTCAGCCGGTCGAGGCTGAAAAATCTAACCGTAGTTTGAATATCTTGTCAGTTTTAACATTTGATGGCTCGGGACAAATAATGGATTAATTCCGTGCCGGACATCTGGCTCTCGACCCCCCCCCCCCCAACCCGGGGGGCGATCTTCTAACTTTATACAGTATACAAAAATAGATAGTCTTACTTACATTGAACTCCTNCCCCCCCAAAAAAAAACCCCCCCCCGCCACACACTCCTCTCTCTCCCCCCCTCCCTCTCTCTCTCTCTCTCTCTCTCTCTCTCTCTCTCTCTCTCTCTCTCTCTCCAGCATGATAATTAATTCTTTCAGCTGCTCAGAAGTGCGTTGCATCGACTTTCATATTTAAAATGAAGAGAATTCATTTCTCAGATGTTGGGCTACGAGTCATGTACGTCATCAACTTAAATTACTTCGATTAAGGGGGGAGCCACTCAAGACCAAGGCTAACCGTAGTCTGATGACGATTTAAGTCTTGGTCCTCAGAATGTAGGTCATTCGGATTACCTAAGGGTTAAAAGTTACATGGTGGGTTTGTGTGTGGGGGGGGGAGGGGGGGGGGGGGGGGTTGATAATGAAGAGGTGGTGTGTGTGAGGGGGGGGGGATTCTGGGGTGATTGGTTAACAACAAAAATTGTTTAAGAATTATACAATTGATTGAATAATGGAGTTGATAATGAAGAGGTTGTGTGTGTGAGGGGGGGGGGATTCTGCGGTGATTAGTTAACAACAAAAATTGTTTAAGAATTATACAATTGATTGAATAATGTTAAGCACAAAAAAATTACTTAACCAGTAAAGCACTGGTTTTGAGGATATGTGAGTAGTAAACAGTAGCCTTCTGTTTAAAGATTAAAATGTAAAAAAATGAGTACGTAATTTATCAAATGATAGCTCTTAACGACTTATCAGGCATAAGTAAATAACACAATTTTAAACTACACAATGTCACCCAAATCCAAATAGCACCACATACAAAAGAATTATCAGTGTATACACAAATAATAGTTACTTATAGGTAACATATGGCGTATGATTTAAATTTTCTTGGTTTTAAATTTGAGGGGAAATATAAAGTTATGCTAAAGTACGTTGACTACAGTGATGCAGCTACAGTACAGTGACAACAGTACAGTGCCAACAGTACGGTGCCAACAGTACGGTGCCGAACAGGACAGTGCCAACAGTACAGTGCCAACTGTACAGTGCCAACAGTACAGTGCCAACAGTACGGGGACTTAAACGTACTACGATGCCAGTGCTGGGGAGCATCGAGTATTTGTTAACTCGTGTGATCATTTTTGTTACGGTTGCTCTCGTTTGAAAAAAAAAAATATGTTGTTTACAAATCCTCATACTTAACATATCAAACAACGTTACCGGCATCCCTCCACGCTATGTTTACCATACAGAGCCGCTGAAGCCAGGCTCCGGGTGCAGGATTTCTTTCAGCAAAATCTCCGGAGGGGCACTGTTCCACCCCCCCCCCCCGCCAACCCAACCCCCCCCCCCCCCCCGGAACAAAAATATGTCCAACAATAAATCAACTGGCACTGCTGGCACTCCCCGAAAATATCTGAAGTGCCCCCAAAAGGGGGGGGGGGGAATTTCTAAAAATAATCACTGTCCTGCGTGACATAAAAAGATCTAGATTTAAAAAAATAGGAATGTAGTTCGTTTAATGTCTTTGTTTGTAACGGCAGAGGAACTTGTGATAAACAATAAAAATATTAATAAGGAAAACAAGAAGGCCTTCGAAGTCAGTGCCAGCAGTGCCAGTTGATTTATTGTTGGACATATTTTTGCTCCGGAGGGGCACTTGACTTTCCCGGGGGGGGGGGCAGTGCCGCTGCCCCCCCCCCCCCCCCGAGATATAGCTGAAAGAAACCCTGCTCATGCCCCAACCCACCTTAAAAAAAAGTATTCTTGAGTCATGAGGCCACTTTGTCCATAAAATAAATCGGATTAGCCGTAAAATTGTCATAAAATAAATCATTAGGTTAGAATTAGTTCATTGTCATATTCATATTCTTTTTACTGACGGAACCAACAATTTTTTTTTATTAATAATGATAATGAACTAATAAGCACCTAATAACATTAAGTATACTACTACTGTACTACTGGAAATAAGTGTCAGTGAATAAAAATATTCCAGCATTTGACACAATAAACTTTTATAACCTTACTTTTTTTTCTTTTTAAGGGGGTAGTCTTGCATTCGTTTCTGCACAGAATACAAAAGTTTAATTCGGAAAGGAAATAGAAAGTAAATTATTATACTTTGAATTTGAAATGTAAAATAAAAGTGCAGGTGGGCGTGGCATTTAACTTTTAATTGGATTGGGCAATCGAGAGCATCAAATTTTAAAAATAGTAGATAATAATAATTACTTTTTAAAAATAATCTTTATTGGTTCTACTAAAGATGTTAGAAGAAAGTCTTTGAACTTTGATAGTAGACAATAGTAAAAGAATAATGTAGGATCAATGTTACTGTCACTGTTGTTACGGTTTGTTGGTTTAAAAGTTAAAGGGGTTGATTTGATTACACCAAACAAAAAAGCGAATGGAATGCCTTTCTTTGTCAAAATAAAATAATTTTATATTTATTTGTTCGTATGTTGTTTTTTTTTTTTAAAGGATAGTTCATTTAAAATAAACTTTTCATCTCCTTGACGCATGACGCAAAATTTTCGTTCAACAAAACTCACTAAATTTTATTATTTTCCAAGTGAGCTAATCAGCGTTGCCACTAGTAACTCTCATCCTATTGGCTGGTTTGAGCCAAGCGGGTCATTTGACTGGCTGCCTCGTTTCAACAATAAACAGAGGCAACTGAGTCGATGTGAAATCTCTTTAAGTTTCACTTCTTTCTTGCTGAGCACGGAACTGTAAGTATAAAGGATCGTCCAGATCTTCTCAGTGTTCAGTCTAGGTGTTCACCTATTTGGATTAAAACTGTGTACTTTTGGTTTAATTAAAGAGTATAGTGTATGTGAACTAAATATCTTGTGGCTGTGATTATTATTCAGAGCAGTGTTCGCACTAGCCAGTAGTAACTTCAAGACTGAGTGAATCTCACGACATCAGTAAAGGCTTTCAGTAAGGTATCTTCGCGCTTACCTAGCCTTTATAACATTTACGTGCAAGTTTATGCACCGGACACAAATATTAACTTAGTATTAGACCAACACAGAACTGGGTGATAAGTGACTATTAAGTTCTATCGGAAACAAAAAAAAAGTCGAAGGCACAGTGACAGTCAGTAATACTAATATTTATTGTATTCATTGTATTTGTATAGACGGTGTATAGGCTAGATTGGATAGGCCTACTCAACTTTGCAGTCCTACTAAACTTGCACATATTGCACAGCAACACTGCCGACTACAGTATACAAGTATGAATTCATTGATGGATTATTATTCCGTTCTAATTCTGGGCTATTTACTATTTCATTTTGTACTAACTAACGTAGCCAGTGTCACATTCACACAATTGTATTTGGTTCGCCTAAGTGTCCTAAGAGATGAGGATTTGTCAGTGTCCATGTGTTTGAATTCATTTTTTTTTACAGAATTAAAGGCCTTACTACTAACTTTCGTCTTAGCCTAAATTTATACAGAACATTAATTAAATTTAATTGTGCCCATTTAATTTAAATTTGGTTTGGGTGATACGCTAACTATACTTGTACAGTCAGTAACCTTGACTTTTTTTTTTAGACATACCCATGCCATGGGGGAAATAATAAAAAAAATCATATGGTCAAATGCCAATATGCATTCTACTTAAATTTAAGGTGTGTAAATACATATGCATTGAAATGAAGTTTCAGTTGAGTTGTCTCTATACTAAACTAAAATAAAGCATTGTTTCATTTTGGCATTTGCCTATGACTATATGCTATTCACTGAATATATCTGGATACTTGTTACAAGCCTGGTTTAAAACTATTAGTTAATTAAGCCATTTTAATCATTTTCATTTTAACTTCAGCATTTCACTGCATATCATGAATTGATGGTTCTATGCTAAATCTATTTTCCATGCTTAACCATTCAGATTTTTTGGAGGTTGAAAATGTCACAGCCGCTCAGAAGTAACACAGGCAGGGCAGATTTTACCATGAAAGAAAATCAAATCAATCGACCCAAGCAGACCCTGGTGTCAAAAACAAATGCCAACTCAAGAAGACCAGTACTTGGAAATGTAACAAATCAAGTGAGACGGCAACCTCAGCGTATTGCAAAGGAAAAGGTAAGCTGTAATTTATATTGTGAACATGTCATAGTTATCATGAATTTGGTCAACATGTTGATTTTTCCATTGTTTCAAGTAATGTATTTTAATCCTTGACATGAGATGTTCAAATTGAAGAAATGTCTACATATATTTGGGCATCTTCTTAAAAGTTTACTTACATTAGATGGTGTGTTTTTGATTTCTCACGGTGACTGTTTATATTCTTTTAGGTATATTATGTACTCTTTCGTCTTAGTATTAACTTCTGCCATTGCTTGTTCCCCAGAAATCTAAAAAAAAATGTAGGCCTATATTTATTGGCTTACTGCATTTAAAAAGGTTTAATGGCCCAACTTCTGTTTTATCTACAGCATTCAGTTCTGCAAAAACAAAGTTTTGGAGGTCAGGAGAATACTTGTTTGAATGTCCAGAAAACTGTAGGGCTCGCAAGCTTTTCCATTTTTGAAGATGAGCCTACAACTGCAGCGCCAAAAGTTTCATCACAGAATGTTCAAATTCATGAAGAGGAGCCAATGCATGATGAAGAGAACCTTGTTTTGAGGGACATGGTTGTTGGCTTAAATAAGCACCCTTGCTTCCAACCTCATGCTCAGCGCAAGATAGAACCTGGTAAGTTACACACACTGAATTTTTTTTAAAATCTTTTTTTTAAATCTTTTTTTTTTTTTTTTAAAGTAAAATTTAAAAAAAAAAAAAAGATGTATTTATCCCTACCACCTCATAGCTACACACACCATGCAGAACATTTGTCTCAAATGTTACTTCTTTGACAGGCTCACCAATGGTGATTGACAGTATGGACAGGGAATCTAGTACAAGCAGTCCCGATGAGTTTGGACTTGACATTTATGTAAATGATATATACAACTACCTGAAAGCAGTTGAGGTAAGGAATTTTTATTTTTGAGAATATAATCTACATTCTCCTTGACCTATATCCCCTTTTATCTTATATACTATCAGGTTACTTGTTCCACAAGGTATTCTGTAACTTTCTAAATAAACCCAGTTAGTAAAGAATTGGCGCATAACCACCAGTTACCTTCATGTCCAGTTATAACTATAAATTGTCCAATTAAATTTTATTTTAGTATTTATCTTTTGGAAATTGTCAGTTCTTATTCTCTATTCTCTTTTTGAAAGCAGCACTCACGTTTTGTCATTTGCTATTGACTCCTTTAATTGTTATGGTTGATATTGTTGCCATTTATCTATGGGAGAATTGGGCACACTGAAAGAGTTTGCATTTTTTTAAACTAGCCTTCAAGTCGACCAAGCAGAGATTACATGAACAGACAGACTGATGTTTCAACTTCAATGAGAAATATTTTGGTCGACTGGTTGGTTGAGGTAATTCTATTAGTACTAATGGTCGGTCCTGTGATATATTTTACCCCCCATAATTTACCAATTCAATATTGAATGTTATTAATTTGTACTATAATTTATAGTTTTTGCAACTTTATTCCAATTTGAATTAAGACTGATTTCTTTAGCTATTTTTAATTTAATAAAGCTAGTTTAGTGAACTCAACATGTCGACCATTATTTCAAGGTTGGTGAAGAGTACAAACTGCAGAGGGAGACTTTGTTTTTGGCCATAAGCTACATAGACAGATTTCTTGGATTAGTTGGTGTTCATAGGCCTAAGTTACAACTGGTTGGAGCAGCGAGCATGTTCATTGCTGCGTAAGTATTCATTGTTGATCTGGATGGTGGTTGTATTTTTTTTTTTCCATACTGATCAGTACTGTTTTAAACGACTTCGTGTAAGTGAAGTAGGTTTTTATGAATGCTATTTAGCTGAATTTAAGTACTCTCTCTACAACACAATCTCAAGGTTAGGGTTGCAGCTTCTGATTAATTTTCTTCTGATTAATAGTCCTAAAAAACAGAAAATGTTAAGTAGATGTTAAGTAAATGATGAAGCAAGGGTGTTACTGCCCAAGGAGGGCACTGGCCTGTGTTATCTCATGCTTCCACCGCCTTTCAATGGGACTAGATGTCTAATAGGAAAATGCACAGTTTCCCCCATCAAATATTTTACAGCTACTTAGTTTGCAGCTCTTATGTTACCTCGGTAACTCAAAATGCTGTCAGCTGTACAGTGGGATAAAGTTGATCTGGTGCAAAAGATTGAATCGAGTGCTGTTTCTTCTCTCATTAAAAAAATAACTTTGCTCTTACTCCCTATTACAGACCTGTTTTGGCGTACAATGTACAATTTTGAGGTGTATAGATTGTATATACTGTATGTTTATTTACTATAAATATAACATTGAATAATTTTGTGATATTGTACGATTTTTAAGAGTCTGAGGGTAAACTTGTCTGATATGGTCTGATTTGAAAGTCTGCTTTGCTTTATTATTTAAATGTACTTTATCTCCATAAGGCAGCGTTATTTGATGCATATTGCGTAAGTGGTTGTACAAAAGTAATAATCACGCAGCTAAAATTTGACTAGTAGAGGGATGTGCATGTTAAACACAAATGTTGGAAATCTATTTTCTTAAAGATATCCGGTAAAACTTTCTCTCATTCATTGTTAACATGTTAGTAGGTTTCCATTTATATTTGCACTGTATATATCTTGAATTTATTTTCATGCAATCCTTTTGCCAATACTCGTGTTCCCTGTAACATTGCGGGAAACTTACCTGTGGAGCATATTTTCCCATCAATGAAGTGAGGAAGCTCTGATCAATGTTGCTGTATTATTGTGTTCATTTATTTATGAAACTAATAATAATAAAATTGGTAATGTCTTCACTTTAACTTTATAAACATATTGCAGATGTTTTTACAGGACTTTCATATACTCTTTCAGAAAATATGAGGAAATTTATCCACCTGATGTTGCAGAGTTTGTATACATCACAGATGATACTTACACTAGAAGCCAGGTAGGACAATGATTTTTTTTTATTTGACTTGCTAATGATTTGATTTTATTTATAACTTATGTCTCTGCTAGTATTTTATTTATAACTACCTAATTCACTGTTATTTAAAATGTCTTGTTTTGGAAAATGACACACAAGCAAGCTTCTGATACTTTATATTGGTAAAATTTTGATTTGCAGGTATTAAAAATGGAGAGTGTGATCCTGAAGTTGTTAAATTTCAAGGTAGCTGTGCCAACAATTAACTGGTTTTGTGAACGCTTCCTTGACATGATTAAAGGGTCAGACAAGGCGAAATATTTGGCATATGTGAGTATACATACATTTTTATCAACTGTCTTGTATAATTAACTGAAGTTTTGTCCAATAATTTACTGTGTAGAAATTTGTTGTTTAAACATTGCTTATCATTGGCTTAGTTTAATTATTTTATCATGAATGCAGTTCCTGACTGAGCTGTCCTTGATTGAAGTTGAGGAGTTTTTGGACTTTAGACCCAGCATGATTGCTGCCAGTGCTGTTGTTCTCTCTCGGAGCACATTGAAAATAAATGATCCATGGGTATGTCCTGTCATGTCGCTAAGATTAATTATGTAGTTCCATGGCATTTTTTTTTTTTTACAATAGCATTTTCTTAATGGGCCTTTTAAAATATATATTTGTACCTTTGCAGCCGGTGAATGTGGAAAAATACAGTGGCTATTCCTTGACAGATTTAAAAGACTGTATTCAGTGTTTGTTTCGCCTTTATGCAAGAAAGTCAACCATGCCACAGCAGGCTGTCATTGAGAAATACAAACAAGACAGGTAAACTGCAGGGATGGGATAATATCATATTGCTTTTGGTTTGCAATTATTTTTTTCAAAGTCTTTGGTTAATGTCTAAACACACCTCAAATTGACATCGCTTAAAAAATGTTTTTTTTTTTATTTTTAGGTTCCACAATGTTGCTCTTGTTGAGCCGCCTGCTGTTCTGGCTATTCACTAAAATATTTTAGAAGACAAGAATCTGATGCTCGTCTTTCTACATGATGGCTAGATTTGACCTGTTCAGTATGGCAGCTACTTACACCTTTTACACGCACAAATGTGGGTAAACCGCAAAATACTTAGGCCTTCTTTCTATTAGCTTCTACCTCAGATTTTATAAGGAAATTATGCAAAGTATACAATTTTTTTTTTTTTTTCCTTTTTTTTTTTTTTTTTTTGGTTTGGGCTCTCAAAATTTTTTTTTTTTGTTTTTTTTTTTTTTTTTTTTTTTTTTTTTTTTTTTTTTTTAAGGGAATTCTCACAATTTTTTTTTTTTTTTTTTTTTCCTTTTTTTTTTTTTTTTTTTGGGTCAGCAGCTGAACATTGTCATTATCTGGTTTTTATGAAGTTAGACTTGTATTCAGTAGTAGTGCAATATGTTCAAATTTTTAAGGAAATAGTTTTATTAGGCCCAGTGGTTGATCAAATGGTGGAATGAACTGTAAGAATGGGTAAATGGCAAAGATGGTGAACGTTACAGGCAAAAAGTTACTGGTTGTATTTTGCATGACACACAAAGTTTTATACAATTTATTTTAGACAAAAAAAAATGCTGCATGGGAAACAAGTGGGGGGAACAAGTGTATGTAATGCTTTACAAAAAAAAGACTCTTTTTAGAGTTTTCATTTTACTGAGGTAGCTTGTCTTTCTTACATGCTATTTTTACACACGGGCTGAGTATGTTATAAAATATCATTGACAGTTGTAGACGATAGCTGTTATAAATATCTGGTTTTAAACCACATTCTATACACTTGGCTGTATCATTATCACATAGTGAATTTTCTGAAATAGAAACTACATGGTTGTATATATTGTAAAACCATTCTTTGAATTATCATCATAGTCCATTTTTTTACATTTCTATCAGCTTTCTACGTATCCTCATATTCAATCTGTCGGACGTATACTATTTAATCAATTGGCAAATTTCTGTTATTTTGTAAATTTTCTGTAAATATTTATCCTTAATCATTCCCCCTGTCCTTGTGTAGCTGCACAAGTGCCAGTAAAGTACTGAGTGAAACTGAATTTATGTGAAGATATCCCACAAACATACTAAGCCCGTAGACACTTTGTACATTTTATGACTAAATTATATCATTGTGAGCTTTTTATACCAATTACAAAATTTATTGTCAAGTAGCTAGTGCCAACCAGTGACCGATTTGGTGCTGGTGGTGACTGCTACCTACTTTGATTCTATTTTAATTAAATTTCAGATGGTAAAAAAAAAAAAAAAAATTAGCCTGGTCTTTACTTTCTTAAATTGAAATATTTCTGATTTATTTGAAAAGTTCATTTTTCCCAGAGTTATTGTTTGCAGTTGCGATGTTGTTGGTCTGAAATTTTGTAATTTTAATCAGTTTTATTTAAACCCAATGCATCTGTTACGTGACACTTGGTCATTACTGAGAAAATAAGTTGAAATTTGTAAGAATTTTTAAAATTCATTTTGTTAAATGTTTTACTGCGGAGGATCCTGAGTAAAATCAGTTTGTTTTAAAGACAAGCTTCCCTGTTTATCCCTGTTCAAAATTGCATTGCTTTTGTCAAATGTTAAAAAGCCTTGAACACCTTTTATAATGTGCCTTTATATTTTTATACGGTATCTAGTACGATGCTATACATGAGAATCTTTTTTGCTTGTAGACTGTTTTTGTAACATTATTCATCCCGTGCCTTGATTGAGTTTATTTACTGTTGAACGATCACTCACACCTTTGTGTTCAAGACATTGGCAGCATTTTGAAAATAACAAATGTGTAACTTTTTTCCCCAGTGTATTTCCTGGGTAAAAGAATATAATAGTTTTGTTTAAACTAGCTCACAGATCAGAGACATTTAATATAATCAGTATGTTTTTGTAATAGGATATTCATGTTCTGTAACTTCCTTGAATCCCTTTTCTAAATCTTTGTTTTTGTTCTGTATCTTTCTGATCTATGTCCTTGTTTTTGTTATGTTTCTTATTGAGCTATGTTCTTTTGTTTTCTTAAATCTATTTCCTTGTTTTTATGTTTCTTACTGAGCATCATACAATTTCCCTTTCAATTTTCTCTTGTTTGCTACTGGCTACCCTACTTCTCCATTGATGGCATTTAAATCAACCTTTTTGTGTTCACTTGTCTCACTTTCCCTGTTTGCTTGTCTCACTTTCCCTGTTTGCTTGTCTCACTTTCCCTGTTTGTCTCACTTTCCCTGTTTGCTTGTCTCACTTTCCCTGTTTGCTTGTCTCACTTTCCCTGTTTGCTTGTCTCACTTTCCCTGTTTGCTTGTCTCACTTTCCCTGTTTGCTTGTCTCACTTTCCCTGTTTGCTTTTTGCACTATCTTTCAATTTTTTATATATATACATGATTTAGCATATTTTAAATTCAATCTTTTCACTATATTTATTACATCAAATTTTATTGTCCACATCAAAAATTGATCTGAAGAGCATTCATCAATTTTTACTGTTTCTTGATGTTTTGAATTCCTTAAATAGATGAATGATCTGATTGTTCTAAAACAGATTAACAGTTGGAAGGGTTTTTTTATTTGTTTTAACAATTTATATTTATGTATTGAAAGTCAAGTGTGCCATCAGCTTTGACGATTTGATATCTCAACTTTTATGTAAAGAATGGGCAATTACAATTTGGTTTAAAAAAAATTGTATCTAGTATTCAGCCTCAAAGGTTACAATTGATTGTACAGGGGCTCTATTTTGCTTTGTGTGGCTAATGGCACAACCAGCTGCTGCACTATTGCACATACCAAAAAAGCATAGTCCAATATGCCCCTCTTTCTGCCCCATTCTATTCCGCTGCAGTCGGCTTTTCACCCTTCTAAGGCATGAATCTATTCAGATGTCTCACTGCTGATTGTTCTGAAAAAATCTGTTCCAACTGTTCTGTTAAGTAACTAATTACTGGCATAGTTGTGTGTACCACTAGCCATGCTGAGCAAGACATGAGTTATATAAGATTGTATAGACTCATAAGTTTTGTTATGAATGTGGCTCAATGACTTGTAGTGTACTGATATGGTGAGCATCTGAAAATTTCATAAAACTACACACTGCTTGTGAATATGTATAAATTTTATATAAAGTGAACAAATATGTACCTATAGATCTGAAATTCTGCTTACATATAATCTAGGGTTTTTCTATCATATAACCTTTAATATTTCAGTAGTGTATTTTTTTTTTGCTATTAGTTTTGTGGAATAAGAACAAATATCTTGTCCTGTCCCCCATACAATTTCAACCGATCAAATTTCTGTCTACTTTTAAGACTGACAATGCTAGTAAATAACCACAATCTCATTTGAACACATGTACATTGTTATCACTACATCACAAGTATTGGCCAAATCCTAATAATTTAAAATGCATTCTTCACACAAAGCCCATGTTTTTAAAGTGTCTTCCAACTTTGCAGCAGCATCATTTTAAAAACAAACCATTATATTACTACTTAAAAGCTCGTTTTAATCAAAATCACTTTTTAATCCTTTATTTTGTACATTTACCTTTTTCTACGCGAACCTTTTGAATGCAACAGATAATAGCATTGACTCCCACCGAATGCATTTTTGTTTATTACAATTTTTAGGAGCCTTGTTTGTCTTATTTGACAAATTTGATTGTTGATAGTATGTTCACCTAAAAGGGTTCACTTTGTTGGCTATAAATGTTTCACAAAATAACATTGCAGGGATTGTTTCATATTATCTGTCTTGTCTTCTACTGTTATCACTGGATTGTTATTTTATGAAATTTTATAGAACTGACCATTTTTTTAAATAATAAAAGTCTATTTTTGAACGTTGATTTTGCTATTGCTTTTTTAAGGGTTTTGGTAATATAGCTATAACTGAGAATTATCCAGCATGTCAGGGTACATCTCCTGTGTTTAGGTATAACTCAATATAAAAATATTCACCATGTATGCAGGATTTTAAAGCCCTCCCCATTAATCAAAGGGCATGCATTGACAACTTCTCAGCTGAAGTTATGACAGGAAATTGTATACTTAATTTCAAGGAGGCCTGGAACTCATTTGGGTACAACTCTAGCACCTGTGATTCTTTTGAGGATCCTATTTCAACAGTTCCTTAGTTGTTAGTTGTACCATACTATAAATATATTTCAATCTTCAGTTGTATTTCCAAATGATGGCTCCACCCACAAATGTGTTTCGGGTGTTCATTTTAACATTAAAACATGACCACCCTGCACCATCTCCTCCATCCAATGTTCTGCTAAGATCAAGACAAGCTAAAAGACCGCAGCATAAGTGGCTGTGCTAAAGAACTCAGAATTTACCGGTTTGCATGGTATATCTATCATGTCCGCAAATTTTTTAAAGTAAATATTAATTTACTTCTTCAATACTACTGCAGGCTCTAATTACATTATAGAACATAAAACTATCCTAAAGCATTTTTGGATCCCAATGCAATAGGTTACATTCTGCTTCATCCAAATGTCTGGATATGAATTGAATTATATTTAGTCTCAATATTCAAATTCAAGCTGTTCACAAAAATAGATGGGCTGCTGCTCTGTTTTTCTGATCACATTCAACTTAGGCAATATTCTTGCTTGACATCTCCATGTAGTCCATGGATAGCTTTGCCTTAAGCCTTAAGTAACTTGACATATAATAAATCTACCACTAGATATTAACATTATAATGTATCATATTATTTGTCTTGTGCACTGGTCTTGAAGTTGATGACCCACCATTTTTTAGCCAATTCATTTTGCAATACCTGGTACCAAAAAAATTAAAACCCTTACTCCATATATGGACACTAATGAAATTCATGAGAATTTTATTCTCAAATTATGAAAAGTTAACATTCAAAAGTCAAATATAAACGGTTCCCAGGATGAAGTATGTGAAAAATGATCAGTCACTTATGAGTAATAATATGGACATGTGTTCTAGAATTTGTAAAGAAACATACAAATACAAGATGATTGTGCTATATTATTGGTGCTAATAGTAGTATTAGCAACCCTTAAGTGCTATGTGAGTGGCTCCAGATCAATCCTACAGTCCTGGGTCAGAATTTAAATCATGCTTTATTTAAAAGGAGTAGGAGGGAGAAATAT